CTTGCGGAGGTATTTTCCCGTGGAACGGGTAAAAGAACGACGGCCGCGCGCTGGAAGAAATGACCCCGGCCAGCCGGGGAGCTCGCGCGCCTCCCGAAGTGATTTGCCGAGACACGGTAATTAATGCTAATAGAAAAATTGCTGGGACCGGGTCGCACGACCCCGGGCGAGGCAGGACGGTCTGGAATTTTTAATGATATGATGCGCGAGCGCGCGCTCCACGTAGAGGTGACTCTTTTACGTTGCGAAGGTACGAAACACTTGGGACGAAACAGCCTCTCGCTCGTCCCTGCTCAAAAGTCTAAGCTCGGTAATGTACCTTCTTTGTCGCCTCCGAGAGAGAGAGAGAGAGAGAGAGAGAGAGAGAGAGAGAGAGAGAGAGAGAGAGAGAGGGAGCCTCGCCGCCTCTCTCACTGCAAACGACATTTACACGCCATATCTAATTTATTATCGCGAGTAACCTTTTTCGTCTCGCAAACAGCGTAGCTCGGAAAGATCACGTCAAGGACGAAAAGAGAAACGTCGCGACTCCCTTCATGTACTCTCCCTTTGATCGTACTTCGCTCTCAACAGGCTCCACCTACGTTGATCACGCAGCCTGTCATTGCTCTGAGAAATGGGCGGTTTGGCTGAATGAATCGAGCCGTACGTGTACAAGCGAGTTTCGAATAAAACGTCCGTCCGTCCGTTCATCACGCTACGCGGTTCGAGACGCATGAGATTTGTTCACGAAGCTGCGTGTACTCGCGGCGTTCGGTACGCGGCGGGGACAGCGAACGGTCGGAGCAACAGCACGCGATTACGCTCGCGATTAATTTCTATCATATCGATCCTACCTGTGTCGGAAGGGCGCTCTCGACACGGCAGTGCTGGCACCCTACGCGAAGACCGGCAGACGCGCGTAACTGCCCCGATCGTAATAAAGCTACGTTCACACTCAAGCACGCACAGGCCGGCACAGGGGAGGGTGGAAGAAACAGGGGCGCAGCGGGCATGCGTGGCCGAGGCTCGTGCGTGTTCGACGTGTGACGGCGGCTTAAGACTACGTCGGCAGCGAGCGCGAGCGATTGCCGTTGCGCGGCGATCACACAGTATTGTCCCGTGCGACCGATTGATCGATTAATTAATTACGGGACGATGGTAGGTTTGCGGAGTCAATATTGAATTCACGGTTAATGCGTTTCGGCCGACGGGACGCAGCCGGCCGGCCGGCCGGCCGGAGGTGAAATCTGGCGTCGGCCGGCGCCGCGGCTGCGTATACGCGTGTCTGATCTCGGCCGCATTTTAATTATGCATTTAAAAGCGCATTTTAATGTTTCACGCGACGATGCAATTTCAGCCGCGCGCGCGCGCGCGCGCGACGCTCCTCTCGTCGATATGCAACGGCGTGACGTTGTACAACTCGCGAGCGAGTGCGCTCGCGCGCGCGCGCGCGCGCGCGCGCGCCGTTTTAATTTTAATCAATTTATTTGGCCGCGCGCGCACGCGGCGTAACCAACTCCCGGCGAGATGCTATCTGCCGCGTCGGCGAGGGAGAGAGCTTACGGTAGATTAGCGAGATATTTCGCCGTTGATTTCGCCGGGTCGATAAGCGCATACGCCAGAGCGCAAATTCGCGACGCGGCGAGTCAAACGGAACACACGGCTGATGCGGACACAAAGGGAGAGGCGGAGAAGGGCGGGGGACGATGGAAGACTACACGTTACATAATTAAAATAAGCAAACTTTCCTACGAAACAGCTCCTACGTTCGTGCTCGCAGCGGCGACGCTGTCGGAGATTGCGGAAGGGCGGCGCGGCGAATTCGCTTTTATGCCGCGTACTCGCGGCAAGACACCGCGTAAATCACGCGAGATCGCGCGAGCGCGATCTACGGCGTTTCGATGCCGCGTATCTCGCGTATAATTACGCGATCTAATTGCGCTCGTGTCGATGATACATCGTATTTTTATGCGACGCGTCGCGCGCACGCGACGCGTTTTCCCTTCCGCTTATAATCCGCCAGCGCCGCGTGCGTCAACGACACATGCAAGGCACCAGATGTTAGAGAGACAGAGACATGATTTTTCAATTTTCCGCCGCCGAGATAGAAGTGGGAAAGTGCACTACCCCGTATTGTTTCGTGATGGACGAGCTCGTCGTTCGCGGCACGGCCGTGCGCGAGTAATTCGACATTTCTCCCGTGGAAATTGTATCGGCGGATATTAATTGCGCCGACAGAAACGCACACGCCGAAAAGAATTGCTCTCTCTCTCTCTCTCTCTCTCTCTCTCTCTCTCTCTTTCCCCGAGCAGTCCTCAGAGACGCGAGATGCATTTTCTCTGCGAGCGAGATGTCTTCTGCGTACGCAATTATCGATCGGCCGTATCGGCGCACCTCGTCGGCTGAGAAGGAGAGGCGGAGTGCCGCGACTGCGACGTCGTTCAGGTGCGACTTTCGTGCGAATGAAGGTAAGAACGTCTCTCTGCCCTTTGTTCGCGGGTCGCGGAACGACAGCGGAGAATCATCACCTGGCGAAATTGATCTTTAGACGCGCGTCTCGAGGGCCGCGTCGCGCGCACGATTGCGGAAAGTCAGGCCACGAGGAGAACGACCGGGGGTCACTTCCGCGGTCTCCGCGGAAATCGCGAACGCATCGGCCGGTTCTTCTTCCTCTCCTGCCACTCTCCTCTCAGCCGTTTGATGCCGGGCCGCAAAAAGCGCGAGGGTACGTAAATAAGCGGCGACGAGCTCGTCGCTCGAAGGGGCCACGTCCGGGGCGAGACGCGCCACGTACACCGGCACCGGTACTTAGTCGAGAAGAGAATCAAGACGAGCGACGTCGGCGACGATTTTACGACCGCGTAGGCGGCATGGCTTTCCCGAGCGCGAGCGCGCGCGCCGTTCAACGTACGCGTTACGACCCCTTCGCCGGCCCCTTCGCTCCTCTCACTCGCGAAACGGTGCAACGAACTCTCCATAAAAAATCTAGCACGAGAGTATATCATTGCGCGCAAGTACACTCGTGAAAAGCCGCGATACGTCGCATCGATTCTCGTGCGAGCGCGAGCGCGAGCGCGGGGAGTTTTACGACACTCTGTCGTGCGGCGGGGGCGTTGCATCTCGCGTGCGTAATCGCGACGCACCAGCGGGAATTCCCCCGCAGGGACAGGAGCGCCGGCTGGCTAGTGACGTTATTTACGCGTGATTTGACTCGCGAAGATTTCTCACGGCAAAATCGGCCGATTCAGCGCCGACTCGGGCGCTGATTAACACAACGAGTCGCGTGCTCCCGGCACGCTACTCGTGTGTGTCGCGATCGCATCGCGTCGCGTTTCTCCCCGCGAATCGACGTATCGCGGCCGTTTTCATCGGGCGCACTCGCGTCGCAAGGGTTCCACGTGTACATGTGTATATATCGCGAATGATATATGGTCATCACACATGGGACATGAATGAAGAAAGTACGCGCATGAGATCTGGAGTTGACGCAATCGGTACAGTTTGCATTACATCGACTGAATATGATCGGATGACGTCGTTATAGTTGATGGTACAATAATGTTCTCTGCCCTCTCCAGTCCGGATCAGATATAACATTGTGAAAAAAGAAACTCAAGTACGTTACTGTTTCGCTTCTTTCTTTGCTTGATTACTCGCTACTCGAGCGAGGAGCTCGCGGCGAGGCTCGCTCGTTCGCTCGCTCGCTCGCTCGCTCGCTCGTTCGTACGAACGAGAGGCGTGTCCCGTTCGCCATTGTCGATTTCTCAAACTCAAGTCAAACAAGACACAAAACGACGAACGAAAGACGTAAGCACGTAAGCGAACAAATCATCGAAAGTATACGGCAATTTCAAGTCTCTCGACAATAACGTTGCAACGCTTCAAAAACGTATTGTGTGCCCATGGGGCTCCGCTCCGCTCCGCTCTGCCTGGCTGGTGTGTACGAGCTCGCTGCGCGAAGCGTATGTAACATTCAAATTGCCGGCTGATCTTTCGCGAATACTCCCGCCGGGAAACGCCGGGCAGGAAGAAAGAGACTCCTCCTCGGCGACTTGCCCGCCGCCGACGCCACCGAGATCGTCTTGCGAGCACACAATCGCTGTATCGCGTAACGATCTGCGACAGGAAGACGATCTGTGTTCCCCGACGACAACGCCTCATTACCGTAGCCCGGCATTGTTCGGACCTCTATCGGTCGTCGTTAACAAAGTACAAAGATAAACAGCGACGTGGAGAGGGAGAATTTGTAGGAATAAATGTTTATTCGCGGTGGTGGACGACGGCGTAGCGAGCGGGCGCGCTACGCTACGCTGCCATATTGCCCGCTCGCGCTCCAGTTCGCGCGATTATGCAACGTTAAATCGGGGAATTAAAAAAAGGAGTCTCGGAAGTGCAAATTTCTTTCCGCGGGAGTGAGCGCGCGTCGAGTGAACTGCGCGAGCGAGCGTCGCGACGATTCCAGTGGATTTCCAGTCGAAGAAATTGAGGATATTTCGTGAAGAGAGAAAGAGCGAGCGAGAGAGAGAGAGAGAGAGAGAGAGAGAGAGAGAGTGCGATCCACCTCTCGCTCCCTTCCTGGCTACTCCTCTCTTTTCTCCTCCGTCTCGATTAAGCGACGATCCGGACACGTATCGTCCCGTATTTTCCCTACGTTACTCGTACCGTATTTGTTATCTCGTAGTGCGTAACACATCGCGCAGTAATGCGAAATTATAGCGTGCTATTGCTGCAGGAACTCTCTGGATAAAACGCCAAGCTTCGTGGGGGTGTTAATGGCGTCGGCGGGCGTGCTTGCGATTTTATGCATCGATTGCTCGAGCGTATCCGAAGAAGCGAAGCGAAACGAGACTTTTCGCTCGATGTGACGTCGAGCGATTCTCTTGGAAGGCCGCTTAAATCGTCGCGATAGAACACCGGAGCAGCGGCTCTGCCGATACCAGAGGCGTAGCGTTCTCGAGCAGTGCCCCCGTCTTTAACTCACGGATATAGAGAGCAGAGGGTGTCGTCCGATATCGTACCGTGTCGCCTACCTTCTTCTCCCATTGGAGAACGTAGGGCACTGGGTGCTCACCGGGGAACTCTACGTGACAGTTGAAGACAACGCTCTCCCCGAGGATAGCCGTAATGTGCACCGCGTCCTGTTGGCAGAGTCCTGAAACAAAAGTACCGGTCTCGTTATCATCGCGGCGCAGCAGCAACGCGGTGAGCAACCAAGTCACCTTACAAGCAGCGTGACTATGCGAGAGGAAATCTCAACAGAGAACGACGGTGGTGAGTAGAGGAGCGGGATTCTGCAGGGAACAGAGACGACAATCTCTCGTGCGAAAAGAAACAGGAACAGGAAACATTTCTCATCGACAATATCGATCGTCGCTCGTCGATCCAAACGGTCACACGTCGATCAGATTCACTCCAAGGGAACGAGGACGGACACACCGGCAGGGAGATACGAGTCGAAAGATCCACGGGACGGCGATCGAAATTTCTCGCGGAAGACACACCGGAGAGCGGCGGAAGCTCATAATTCTCGCCGCGGAGTTTCGTCGCGGAGAGAAAACTACGTGGGACGGGCTGTGCCCCTCTAATACCGCCGGTACCTCCGACGGAGGAAGGCATTAAAAGCCATTAAAGGTAAATCAGGGGCAAAGCTTGTCGTCGCCCTTTTCTGCGCGCGCTAGGTCAGGAAACCCGTGCCCCGCATGCGGCGACGGCGGCGGCGGCGGCGGCGGGAGGTCGTGTAAGATTAACTTCGCATTAACCCCCATGCGATATCGTGCCATCGAATGCGACCTCGTTTTGTATGCCCGAGATAACCCGGGGCCCGAGGCTGCTGATATCCTTTCGGTTCTCGCGTGTCGCGCGTGATAATGATGATGTTCCGGCCGCGAGCCTTCGCTCGGCTTCGCAACATCGCCGTGGGATAGTTAACATACTTTGATACATTCGCTCTTGCTGCTCTTGTAGCCTGTTTACGATTGGCGACGATGGGGCGATATCGCTTTAAATTATATCGGGGAATGTCGACGGCGGAGGGCAGAAAAAAGCGGTACCGTGACGCGAGTGAAATGACGTTGGTAAACACGCTGACGGCAATAATACAGACGGGCTCTCCTGCCCCTCCCTCTCTCTCTCTCTCTCTCTCTCTCTCTCTCTCTCTCTCTCTCTCTCTCTCTCTCTCTCTCTCTCTCTACCTCTCTCTCAGGGAGAAGAAACTCTCTCTAGATAATTAATGTTCTTGTACAAACGACGAGAGCACGGTGTATCAAGGGGAGAAGTACTGCCGGATAGATCCATCTTTTAAGAATGTAAGACACTTAATTTTTGGTATCTCGTGCAGATTCTCTCGCCGAGCGTTGAATGTCAGGTCTTCAAACTGAAAAACTTCATACAAGACGTACCCACGCTATGAAGGAAAAAACAGAGAAAGAAAAAGAGAGAAGAGAAAGGATACAGAGCGAAACCGTAATGGCGGCATTGGCGTATTCGAAAGTTTCGAAGCGTTTGCGTTATTCTCGAACACAAAATATACGGTCGGGCGAGGGGGCAGAGAGAGAGAGAGAGAGAGAGAGACAACGAGAGGGGAGTGAGGAGGAGAGAACGTCGGATTTCGCGCGAATGTACGAAACAACGCAAACAACGGAGAGAGTCCGTCGCAGCGAGAAGAACGAGCGCACGTCCGAAATACTTAAACTGATTCGCCGAAATGTGTGTCAGCGTGCAGTCTGCTATCCGCGCAAAGTAATCGCGAAGTTCGTGTGTCGCAAGAAGCTCTATCGGCCCGGGGCAACACAAATCGGGAATGACAGCCGATCTACTTTGCGTCCTGCGGAAAAGTTTCGCGACCAGGAAATATCGACCCGACTGCTGACAAGCGCGAACTTGGGGCGAATCTGTCGTCGCGGCCCCTCCGTTTTCGTTTTATCTTCGCCTCTCGCCACTGCGTCACGATTCCGCCCCCCCCTCCCCCTCCCCCCCGCGGCTTCCCCACGCGCGCGATTAACGTTTCACTGCGGTAAACAGCTGCCGCATTCATGCACTTTTTACTACTTTCACCAACTACTGTTCTACCCGAGTTTCTTAATGCGGTGAAGCCATTACGATCTGAATTCTGTCACGAGACGACGGCTGCCGTATCCGATCGATACGCTATCCCGTTCTCGATCGCTCAACGGAGACTCAAACATCAGCTCTCTCCCTTCTTCTCCCTCTCTCTCTCTCTCTCTCTTTCCTCTTCAAGTGCATGAATCAGCGTGACAGTTTTAACATCCGTAATTAGGTCACGTGGACGTGGCCTTCCGAATTTGTACGCCAGCAGATTTCGCGGCGAAATCTTATTTCTCCACCAGCGAGAGCTAGGACGGCCCGTTCACCCGTTCGAAAATCAGAAACCTTTGTGCATCGATTCACCTGAAACAAACACGCACGCGTGTGCACGTGTAGTTGTTAATTAAAAACTACGGCCCGGCAAATAGCCGCGATTACACGCGCCGATGAGTTTCGTCGCTGCATTCAGCGCAAAAACCGACATTCGACCCGCTAAATTTTTCCGTCGAGTAGGCAACACACAATTGTTCATGCGGTTCACCCAAAGTGCAAAACTTTTCGTTATACACAGCTTCGAAACTGCAACCGCGGCGGCGCGTTACCACGTCCCCTTTGCGCAGAGTGTGCATCCCTACGACGGCGCTTAATGCCCGGCTAACTTCAGAAGAACAGTCGAGCCTCGCATGCTGCACATTCGCATCAAAGCTCGCACGTCGTGCTCGAGAGAGAAAGAGAGGGGGAGAGAGAGAGAGAGAGAGAGAGAGAGAGAGAGAGAGAGAGAGAGAGAGAGAGAGAGAGAGAGAGAGAGAGAGAGAGAGAGAGAGAGAGAGAGAGAGTAGGCTTACAGCTGCAACCACAGAAAATCGCTAACGTCGAAGGAGGGAATCGTGCGTCACAGACACACGCACACGCATGCACGCGCGCTCGCTCGCGAAAGGAAAGGGGACACAAGGTAGAACGCGTCGGCAAGCTCAATGACATCCATTCGAATAATGAACGCGACTTTGATACCCTTCCCCTTTGAAATCCCCCGTGCGCGAATATGACGCATTTTTGGCGCGCGTACATTCGCGACAAAGCGAATCATAATAAATCTCTCCTCGGGCGCAGCAAACAAACACCTTCGGAGGCGCGCGTTTCGCCGCGCGAGGCGACAAGCGTGTGTGCCGCTGCGTGCTCCTGCGGATGAGCTCGGAATCGAAGGCGAGGCCGCCTTTCATCCTCCGGCGAATCATGGCGGGATTTTAGCGAAATTACGCTGTGTCGCGTTAAATAGCCCGATATTTTTCGCTCGCCTTACGATTATTATTGTAAAGCCCGGGGCGCGCAGTAGGTTTTTATGTTACTGCGCCGCTCTGCATCGCGCTAATGGCTGCGAGATCGTGCGCAATAACGACCGCGGGAAGCGTTATTTCTCCGATCAATTTCGCCGAGAGGTCCCTTGCTTCTCTTTCTCTCTCTCTCTCTCCCTCTCTCTCCCTTCTTGTTTTTTCTTTCATCGAAAATTTAATTGGATCCCCTCGTTCACGAGTCTCCATTCGACGTCGGCCATTTCCGCTCGCGCGAGCCCGGGCGAGCTGAACGTCCACGTCGCGCCGAATACACATCCCGCCGCTGTCGCATTAATATCCCAGGACGTTTTAATATGTATCCGTCGCGGACGACGTCTCGCGTTACGAGCTCTCGCGATGCACATCCGCCGCGGTCAGGCGGATATGGACGCCGCGCGCACCGAAGCCACCGCCACCGCCGCATTACGTATGCATTGTGTAATATCGCGGATCGCGGCTTCTCGACGTCTGGCCCCCGTGAACCATCGGGAGAAGTTCGACGTTTCGCCGCAGGCGGTTCTCGACGAGAGACGTGCTCCTGGGCGCGCGACTCGCGAACGAACGCGCTCGACGCGCGAGCTCGCGGCGGAGGAGAGAGTCGCGTCTATCGCACTTCTGATTGCTTAAAATGTCGTCGAGCGACACGGATTTAAGCGAACGTGTTGTTATCAACACCCACCGCGAATAAATATCTTTTATCTTGTAGATTTTTTTCTCCCGCCTGCGTACGTGCTGAAAATTTAGATATTCGTATTTAAAGACTGAAATGATAACAATGTCTAAAGTTAGATGCGTTTCTACGGTGTGTTGGTACTTCTGCCTTCTGTTAGGGGAAAATATTTTACGCATGAGGCAGATTTTCATATGGTAAAGTGAGAAATATATCCGAGCAAATATATATTATGAATCAGAATGTTGCGATGTATACATTTCGATATGGATGTATTCCAGTTACGCAGTACGGTGGATTTCGCTAAAAATGCTTTCCGTGCGCGAGGGCAATTTTCATAACTCCCGCAGATCACGCCTCGAACTCAATTGTTCTCAACCCGGTTCTGTAATCGTGGCCACCTCGTGGCTACCGTCGTTAGAAACCGATTGATCACCGATTGAAGGCGAAATTAAATTTCGCCCCGTCCTCCCCCACATCCTCGTATTGTGCTCGCGTCGCAACATTCAAACGGAACCGCTCGGTTCACGTCGAGCCACGGAGAAGCGTGTTATTAACGTAACGGCGACGGAGCCGTGACGATATTATTGATATTGCAGGACGAGAGCGGCGCAACACACCCCTCCCTCCGCTCGCCTCCACCGATCATGCAACAGCCGTTTTAATCCGCCCCCTCGGTGTACGCGTCGCGAATAATAATCCGAACTGGTACGCAACCGACGCACATTTGTGCGGCCATTATCGTCACTGACGCGGCCCTCCCTCGTGGGATAACGCGGCGTCCAAATAACCGTTTTTATTGTTACTTGTTATTAAATTTTCAACGGTCTGTCTGCAGCGTGTACGCGACGGTAACATCTCGTTATCTCCAAAAAGCGAGTTCGCAAAATAGAGCCTCTCGCCCGTTTTGCGCGCGCGCCCGCGCATGTGTGTGTGTGTGTGTGTGCTGTTAGTAATTATAATTATCATTGTGCGCAGGGCGTTCGCTAATTTCATTGTTAAATGAACCGAGCGCGGTGCTTCAGCAACTTCAAAAAAGTAACTTGCGCGATTCCGCGCGATCTGACGATATTATTGCCGCGCACTTCGGGGAATCCTCGGTTTTTC